CCCAGGACAGCAGCCACCCCCGCCCCAGCCTGCGAAGCCTCAGCAAGTCATCCAGCACCACCCTTCACCCCGGCATCACAAGTCGGACCCCTACTCAACTGGTAAGTGGCCCCCCTAACTCCTGGGCTCCAGGGAGCCTGGTACTGGGCCCAGGGTTTTGTCCTGGAGCAGCCAGACAGGTCAGCTTATGCTTCAGGCTGAAGCTGGAGAGAGGTGGCTGACGGGCCATAGGTGCTTCTTGTAGTGTGTTTATCAGGTATCTGGCTGGCTTGCTTGCAGGCTGAATGTCCGAGAATAAGGCCCCCACTGGCCCTCCTCTTGGAACTCACAATCACAAGTGTTACAGTGCATCATGATTCCTGCTAGGTGGGGAAGCCAGGAGCCCAGGGAGGCACCTGATCTGCCTCAGGATCAGAACAGGCTTCCTGGAAGAGGTGACCCAGATGAGCAGGAGCTAGTTTAACAAATGGTGGGGCGTGAGATCCAGGCAGAACCAGGGGCAGGTCTGGACAGTGGGGGCTGTTTGAGAACTCTGCTCCCCCTATCATGAGGCCCACCTCATGGAGCCAGGTCTGTGTCGGGGAAAATGGGGCTGAAGCTCAAAAGGTGGTGCGCCCCACCATCCCTAAGAACCAGTCCCATCTCCTGCTGCCTGGTTCAGGCTGCCCTTTTCCTCTGGCAGCATTGGTCTGGCCATGCCCTCGTGCCTTTCCTGGGCATTTGCTATTGAAGCATCTGTAGCAGAAACATCCTGGCTGGTCCTGGTAGCGGAACGTGGCAGTTGATGCTTTGTGGTGTGGTGACATGTGAAGGTCATAGTTGAGGTCCCTGTACTTAGCAGTGTAGGCCAGCAGCCTGACTTGGGGATGCGGCAGTGCTGCCAACACATTGAAAAACAAGGTTTTGACTTTATGTCGTGACTGTTCCTAAACCCAGCAAAAGCTGCCAGTTGCCAAGTAGATCGCTGAAGCCTTAGGCAGAGAACAGCTGGCTGTCCTCCTTGGGAAAGACTGTGCAGTTGTGCCTGTTCTCACCCTTGAGCAAGGCTGGGTTACCCGTGGTGGGCAGTGATAGGCGGGTGATGAGATGCCTTTAGAAAAACCAGCAGTGAAGGCTGGGCAGGTCCTTCTGGCCACCTCTCCTTGAGCTCTCTCAGCCGAGGGTGGTCACAGGGAACAGTATGGGTTGGAGCCCAGCTGGGGGATTTGAGTCAAAGTCCAAGTTGTTGGAGTCTGAAGGAACTCAGCAGGCATCCCTGGGCACTGAGCCAGCTTGTAGGCGCTAGTCCTGCACCACTGGGCTCCCCTCTAGATGCTGGTGAAGGAACCCACCAGCAGGCAAGCAATTCCTACAAATCATAGGCCTGGGGGTCTGCTGTCACCCTGGTCAGCCTCAGCAGGTGCTCCCGAGGGAGCTACCCAGACAGGAGGCTGTGACAGCCGTGTGCCTGCGGCTGGCTGACAGGCTTGGAGCAAGGCCTCCTAGCACCCTGGCCAGCAGAACTAGCCACACGGGCTGGAGGCCAAGGAGCAGGGATAGGATGGTCCTCACCACCGTGTCATCTCCCAACAGCTTCTCTGGCTCTAGAGATTGCAGGGTGTATCCATTGTAGTCAGCTCCAGGCCTACTGAAATGAGCTCCTCTGGCCCGGGTCCCCGTGGATGGCCCGAGAGTGTCTGTGCTGGGAGACAGCAGCTGGAAGCAGGCCTGGCGGTCACTGGAAGGGCCTGCACGCCCTTCAACGTGAGGCAGGAGGCAGGACCAGGAGCACAGGCTCTGCAGAGAGGTGGCTTTCTTTTGTGGACAGTGTGGCTTGTCCCATGGCAGAGCTGACCGACATATGTCAGAGATTCAAACAGGAGGGTGTATCCCTGCTAAGGTGGATGAAAGAGTTGAGGGCAGGACTCGGTGGCTCCTCCAGCTGCCCAGTCCTGAGGGGCCAGCCCACTGTGACCTCGGACTGTTTCCTCACCAATAAGGCTGAGGTGTCAGGCTTCAGTGATTGGCCAGGCCTTTCCCAGGGGTCAGTAGTGGGGCTTTCCAGGCTCCTGCCCTGCGCTGGGTGCTTGGATCCTGTGGGTGCCTGGGTCCCCTTAGCCATTGAATGGATAAAATTGGGTGTGCTGGCCTGCTACCAACAAGAACCACACACTAGCCCAGAACCTATTCTCCCAGCTCTGCTGTGGTGCAGACCAGTTCCAGGCCAGCTCTAGTTCCAAAGCAGCTGTCCAGGCAGGCAGGCTGAGCCACATGGGGACAGCCAGGGGCCAGGCTGCCTGCTCTGTTGGGGTTAACATGCCTTGTATTTAACCCAGGCCATGCTGTAGGAACCATCTGGAGAGCTTTTGAAAAGTACTCAGGCCCAGATCCCACCTGAAATCACATGTATCAGAGCCTGCGCTTCTCAAATCTTCCTAATGATTCTGACACATGGGCGTCAAACACAAGGACTGAGTGCATGGCTCCACAAAGCCCTGCTGTGTGCTGAGCTCAGAGCTTGACTGAGCTGGCCCACAGGCCCAGGGCCGGTGGCCTCCATACCAGTTCCACTGACACGTTTTGTCCCCCCTCTCCTAGGTCACCTCCGTGAAGCCCCCTCCCCGCTTATGATACATTCCCCCCAGATGCCACAGTTCCAGAGCCTGACCCACCAATCGCCGCCCCAGCAAAGTGTCCAGCCGAAGAAGCAGGTAAAGAGCAGGGCTGGGCCTCGGCCCCCAGGGTCAGGCGCGGGCCGGGGCCAAAGCCGCCCACCCGCCTCACCGGCCGCCATGCCTGTGCTGTCCCAGGAGCTGCGTGCAGCCTCCGTGGTCCAGTCCCAGCCCCAGCCCCTGGTGGTGGTGAAGGAGGAAAAGATCCACTCGCCCATCATCCGCAGCGAGCCCTTCAGTCCCTCGCTGCGGCCGGAGCCCCCCAAGCACCCTGAGAGCATCAAGGCCCCCGTCCACCTGCCCCAGCGTGAGTGCCCTCTCCACCCCTGGCCAGGGCTGGACGTGAGCTTCCTGTGGGCTGGCCAGCCGACCATGCCCGCCCAGATGGGAGGGCCCAGGCCCATAAGCTGTTTGTGTTCCAGGGCCTGAGATGAAGCCCGTGGATGTCGGGAGGCCTGTGATCCGGCCCCCTGAGCAGAACGCACCCCCACCAGGGGCCCCGGACAAGGATAAACAAAAACAGGAGCCGAAGACGCCAGTTGCACCTAAAAAAGTAGGGACCGTGGGCCCACGAATGCATTTCACCCCTATCCCAGGGAGGCATCCACATGGTGATGGGCCTGTCACCCACAGTGGTCTCTGCTTCACAGGACCTCAAAATCAAGAATATGGGCTCCTGGGCTAGCCTGGTGCAGAAGCACCCCACCACCCCATCCTCCACAGCCAAGTCTTCGAGCGACAGCTTCGAGCAGTTCCGCCGCGCAGCCCGGGAGAAGGAGGAACGCGAGAAGGCCCTGAAGGCGCAGGCCGAGCACGCGGAGAAGGAGAAGGAGCGGCTGCGGCAGGAGCGCATGAGGTGGGCACGGGCTCCTCGGGCGGGGATTCCGGGGGCGCCCTGGGCCCCCAGCTGACCCGGAGCCCTACTCTGCCCAGGAGCCGCGAGGATGAGGACGCGCTAGAACAGGCCCGGCGAGCCCACGAGGAGGCACGCCGGCGCCAAGAGCAGCAGCAGCAGCAGCAGCAGCAGCAGCAGCAGCAGCAGGCAGCCGCCGTGGCCGCTGCTGCTGCAGCTGCCGCCCCCCAGGCCCAGAGTTCCCAGCCTCAGTCCATGCTGGACCAGCAGCGGGAACTGGCCCGAAAGCGAGAGCAGGAGCGAAGGCGCCGGGAAGCAGTGAGTCAGGGGCCTTGTTGGGGACCCCTGAGCAGGAGTCAACCCTGGAAGAGCTGCAGAAGGGAACCCTGAACCCAGAGAGGGGTGGGGGCATCACTCGCCGAGAGGTGGGATAGGCAGGGAGCCCATCGGGGGTGCTCGGAACAGCACCTGCTTGTCCACATCTGCTGGCCTCTGGGCCCCAAGGTGGCTCAGGCCTAGTGCTGAGCAGTCCTGAGTGTGGGCCTGAGGGAGCGGCCGATACTGAAGCGGGGTGGCGAGAAGCAAGGGCAGGGCACCTCGTCTCACTCCCTGACTCCCATCCTCCTGTCCCCTCCAGATGGCAGCTACCATTGACATGAATTTCCAGAGTGACCTGTTGTCAATATTTGAAGAAAATCTTTTCTGAGAGCACCTAGGTGACTTCTGACTTTGATTTTCTGGCAAAACGTTGACTCTCCATAGTGTTAGGGGCGGCAGCGGAGGTGGTAGCAGCGGCCAGGGCGAGTCTCCAGGCCTGGCCCTCGTGCATGCTACGCCGGGGCGGGCCTGACGGGCAGCTGAGGACCGCAGAGCCCATCTGCCTTACAGCCAGCTGGACGTCCCACCACCCTCACAGGACGTCAGCTCAGAGCACGTCTCGCCACGAGCAAGTGCCGGCCAGACCCAAGCCCGCATCCCCGCGTGCTGGCAGAGGCCCTTCTCTCCGCCAAATGTCTACACAGTATACACAGGACATCGTTGCTGCCCGCCACCGTGACTGGTTTTCTGTCCCCAAGAACATGACGTTTATGACGTCCTGCCCGCCGGGAATCCTTCCCCACACCCCAGCCTCTGCCGCCTGCCCCCAGGAGACCAGGGCAGACTCGAGCGAGCTGGAGGCGGGCGAGGGCACCAGCCCATCCCCTTGTTGGCACTGACTGCCTTGAACAGATCCCACCCCTCCCCTGCCCCCACAAGCCTTTAATCGAGAGCCGCTCTCTGTAAGTGTTCGCTTGTGCAAAAGGGAATAGTGCCGTGGAGGTGTGTGTGTCCATGGCAATCCAGAGCGAAGTGACTGTCACACGCGTGTGGGCTGGCCTCTCCCGGCGAGTGAGGCCACCAACCAAAGTCAGTTCCTTCCCACCTGTGTTTCTGGGTTTTTTTGTTTTGTTTTGTTTTGTTTTTTTCTATATATATATTTTTTGTTGGATTCTATTTTATTTTTAATTCTCTTTTCTCCAAACACAATGGCACTGCTTATCTCTGAAATGGTGTGATCCTCTCCTCATTGGGCGGCGGCTGCCACCGCGCTGTGGGTAGTGTGTGACCGTGGCTGTGTATAGTGAAACATAGTTGGCATATCTTTGAAGTTTGTTGGTGACTCCACCAACTGGTGTTAAAAAACTCAAAAACCCACACAAAAAAAACAAAACACAAAACACACAAAAAAACTGCTTATATTTTACTCAGTTTCAAAGTTTATTAGTCTATTTTTAATTATAAAACCAGAAAGCTACATTCTCTCTCCCCCACCCCAATTCGTTGGCTTTTTCTTTTTTTAATGTCAAATCTGTTTGTTTTTTAACAGGAAAAGAAGGGCCAGGGGATGAGGCGGGCGCTTGGGGGCCACAGGCAGGGAGGGGCAGAGGCTTCCTGCACGGTGCCTACCCATCCAGCCAGCAGCCCCTTCCCCACCTTTTTTTTTAATTTTATAATTTGAGCCCCTGGTGAGGTTATGCGTGCCATGAGAACCCACTCTACACCACAACGCTGGTGCCTCAGTGTTGGCCAAACTCTGGAGTCAGTGACTGGTTTGACTTTCATACGGTGAATATGCATTTCGTCTGTACTGATCATGGAATAAACACATCTCTCTTTTTTAATGCTGGCGTCTCCCTGATATTTCTTTGTGAACCACCTGTTGCCTAGGCTAGGCCCCGGGGTCCCCAGACCCCAGACCACATTTGTACAAGAACTCCCACCAGGGGCCACCTAGTCCATCTCCCGTGGTCTGTGCCATCCCAAGCTGCAGCTGTGACAGAGAGTCCAGGTACCTGTTCTTCCCTCCTAGGCAGGTGACAGTGCTCCAGCAGAACCTGGCCAGACTCCAGACAGTATTCTCCTTCACCCTCTTCCTTCCTTGTACCCCACTCACCAGGTGACTCAGGCCACATCGCCCACCTTGCCTGCCTCTTCCTAACTCCTTTCATTTAAGCTCAGGGTTAACCAGATATTCTTAGATAAGTGTACATCCCCCCCAACTTGAATCCTCACCCCCACGCATGTAGACGCACACGTACACATTCCTGCCCGAGAGAGCCCACCAGGTGGCTTCCATGCCACCCTCCCTGCCTGTGTGCCCACCCCAAAGCAAGGGCAGTACCCAGGAGCAGCCCCTAGGATGTAAAATGAAAGTGTCATTTACATGTATGCAGAGATGCAAACTGAATGAAACATTTCTAGCACTGTTTATTAACCCATACCCCGCTTTCTTTTTCAACCAGAAAGGTACCATGTATTGTCTTGTGTTTGGGATCTGCCAAACCTGGCTAGAGTGCAGTTCAGGCATCCAGCCAGAGCTCCCCACCCCCACCCCACGTCCCTGCCACCCCTCCACACACACACACACACAGGCACTTCCTCATAAACCACTGTGCTGGTTCAAGTGTGACTTAAATTTTGGTTCTTTGGGGTTTTTTTCATCTTGTCCCAGCCCCTCATTTTTGTTCTGTGTTCCAAAACTTGCCCAGGCCAGGTCCAACTGTTTAGCTGGAGAAATGGTTTGTCTGCACCTTCTAAAGAGTGAACTCTGCCATGGGCCTCTCCACACCTCCCTTATGAGTGTTTCTCTAACTGGGTTGTAATTAGAATTTGGATCTACTATTTAATTTCTCTGGCCATTTCTCAGTCCCTCCCACAGTACTAGAAATCTTAGTCCTATACAAGAGTGAGAGGTGTGTACCAAGCCCCCAATGTACTGTATGCACGGATCGCTTGGCCAATAATTAATGTCAGTGAATCTGAGACTTGTGTTAAACACTTTAGACATTTGTAGAAGGGAATTCGTAGACTTTTCACTTATATACTAAAGGTTTTTTTTTTTGTGCAGTTCTCATTGCAAAAATAAACATTTGTACTGAATATAAAAATTACCATCCTGTGACTACTGCTGTCTTTGTTTGAGGGTAGAACTGGGGGCTGGAGGGTGGGGGAGTCAGTGTTGTGTAGCGGAGGAAAGCAGGCCCCCAGGTGTCCACCAGCCATGCATCAAGGTTAAAGAACTCAGGAGGGATATAGGGTCATCAAGTGGTCAGAATTGATTTGATGGAAAGTGGAAAAGAAACCAAAGCTATAACAGGCTAATCATGCAAGAAAAGAAAGGTGGGTAGTAAGTGCAGGGAGAACAAACGTTTGTACAATACAGGCAGTGTAAGCATAGACTACTGGACAATGCATTGTTTACTGAGACACAACCACATAACCACTATTCCCCTTTAAGTAGCAACCCACAGACTTATTAAGTGTGATCCCAGGACGGTATAATGTTCAGTAGTGTTCACAATACAAAGTAAACAGTGGAAGGTGAAAGGGAGGGTGGGAGGTGACAAAAAGGGATTACTGGTGCTTCATGTCAGAGGAACCAACAAAAATGACAGATGGAAACAGCACGTCCAGTGGTAGTGACATGATCCAGTCAGGGGATAATGTCCCAAATTGGTAATCAAGAAATGGGCACATAGGGCAGGCTGAGTGGCGCGTTGGTTACGAGTTGGCTTGGGACACCAGCTCTGAGCAGCAGGGCCTTGGTTCGGATCCACATGAGGGCCAGTAACACTGCCCTCTACAGCTAAGATGGTGATCAACAGCGCGACCTGGAGCTGGGCTGCCATGAGTCACCAGCCACGGGGTAGGCTGCAGTGAGACTGCAGTGGGCTGCCATAAGCTACCGTGAGTGGTTGGCAGCCAGCGTGAGTGGCCAGGAGCCACTGTGAGTGGCCATACAGTGACCGGCGACCGATCTGCCTCACCCGGGAAGAGTGCAATGATAATACCAACATGGGCCAGTGAAGCGACATGCTCCACAACTAGACTGAAGAACAAAAGGACAGCAACTTGTCTGTTCCCTCCCCTGATTCCCCAATGCTGTTCCCCTCCTCCAATTTCCCAATAAAATCTTTAAAAAAAAAAAAAAAGGAATAAGCACATTTAGAGATACCTAGGTAAGGACCAGCGGAAAGCTAAAAGCGGTTCCCATGGCAGCCACCAGGTGGAAGGAGAGGAAGTTCAGGAGTGCCACTTTTCCCTGAAAGTCCTGGCTTGCTGTTTAGCCAGATGTATGACTTTAGGCAAATGACTAATCTCCGACTTGCAGGTTCGTGATCTGTAATACACTGATGTGCTAATAGCACCTACACTTAATAGGGTTGTTATAAGGGTTAAATGAGTGACCCTAAAATGTTCAGGATCTTAGGGGATGGTTGCAAAACAGGAGGAAGAAGCCTCTCACCCCGCCCGGGCCCCCTTCCTGTTTCGGCCACATCCCGTGACTCAACAGGCTTAGTCCTCGTAGAAATCAGTCTCCCTGCCACAACTGGCCGCCACTGGCGGAGCCCGGGCCTCAACATCTGCGGATTGTCTCCCGGGCGGGATCTGTCGCCTGCACGTCAATGACAGCCATTGTCCAATCATAGCTTTGCAGGGGCGGACCTACAGGCCCTCTGGGCCAACTGGAAGCTGGCGCCGGGTCGAGGCCGCAGGAGCCGCCGTTGGAACCAAGGCTAGGTAAAGGTGCTGCTACGTCTCTCGGAGCCATGCCGAGGGGAGGGTCGCGCGCTCCAGGACAGGGTGCCCTGGAGAGGCGGTGGCTGGGGCTCCTGAGGCCGCCTCGGACCACGGCAATCGCCCGCGCCTCTCTCCTAGTCCGAGCCGTAGCGCGGCCTGTCCCCATCTTCCCCCTTCCGGGCCCGCTCGACGGCCATATTAGGCTTTGGCTCCGCCCCTGGCTAAATGACCGGGATCCAGGCCAGCCCCCAGGTCATTGGCCCAGCCCTCTCCCTCGGACCCTCGCCCAACGTTAGACTTTGCCTTCTCTAGGTTCCGCCTTCTCTCCGTCCACCCTACTAAGCCACGCCCCCATCCCTTAACGCTCCTGAGCCAAGTTCGGTCCACCCTTTCGGCCCGTAGGCCACACCCACCCTTCAGTGCCCCGCCCCTTTGCTCCAGTCTCGGCCCGTTTCGCCCTGGAAGTCCCCTTTCCTGTTTGTACAGGACCCTGTCTCCCTCTAGACTTTAGGCCCCACCCACCCACCTGCTGCGGGAGTCCGCCCTCTTCTTAAGCCCCGCCCGCCGTTCTAGCCCCTCACACCTCTTCTCAAGGTTCCTCCCTATCTACCGAAGCATGGTCCTCGCAGGCTCCACCCCCGCACCCTAACCTGGCTCCCTGTGGCCGTCACGCCCAGGTGTTTACTTGGCACTCAGGTAAGTCGTGTGCTGTGGCGGTTTCGATCTGAGCCTCCCGCCCCTTCTCTCGGCACGTTCAGCAAGCTCCGACGGCACGGAGGGATCCCAGGCCAAAGGCGGTGGACTCCACCGTCCGGACCCCTCCTCTCCGCTGCGGCCCGCTCCCCCTGCGGTTCAGACCCCCGACGGTAGCACGGTCGTCCCCGAACGCGGCGACATGCCCGAGCTCGTGGTGACCGCTCTACTGGCGCCGTCGCGTCTCACTCTGAAGCTGCTGCGCGCCTTCATTTGGATCCTGGTGTACTCCGCTGCGCTGGTGGCCGCAGCAGCCTACGGCTGCATCGCGTTCACACACGTGCTGTGCCGGCCCAGGCGTGGCTGCTGCGGGCGCCCCCGGCGCACCCCACCAGCCTGTTTGAGCGACCCGGTACTGGGAGAGCACTGCTTCCTGACCCTCAAGGTGAGCGTGCGCAGGGCGCCGTCGCGGCTTACGGGGGGTCGAGTAGCCTAGGAGGCGGGGCCGGAGCGGAGTGAACAGAGCGCAAATGGTTGAATCCAAATCTGGGTCGGCACAAGGCTGGGGGAGGGGTTTAGACCTTGGATGGGTTCCCCAGGTCTTAGACTGTGCCTCCCCCAGAGTTCCGGCCTGCGCCTGCACTATGTCTCCGCCGGTCGCGGCAAGGGGCCCCTCATGTTGTTTCTGCACGGCTTCCCGGAGAACTGGTATGTTTGAAGCCGAGGGGCCTTGGTGCACAGGGCTGGGGAGAGATGGAGCTTAGACCACCAGGGCATCCAGGAGGCTGGAGAAGGGCTGGGTAGACGAGGGGAAGTAAAGATATAGGGCCCAGATGGGGTACTCACGGGACAGGGGTCTATACGAGGAGGCACAGGGATGAAGACCGTAAGGGACGGGACGAAGAGGGATCCATGTTGACACTGCGCAGGAAGCAGGGCGCTGTGACCTCGCCCTCGGCCTGGGGTTCCCCATCCTCTTTTCTGGGAAGTCCAGAGCAGGAAGGTGGGGTTGCCAAAGGCCTCTGCTAGGCGTAGGGCGTAGGTGCAGCTTGGGGACCCTGACTCAACCTCCCTCCCTCTTCTGCCTGCCTAACAGGTTTTCCTGGCGCTACCAGCTCCGGGAATTCCAGAGCCGCTTCCATGTGGTGGCTGTGGACCTGCGTGGATACGGCTCCTCTGACGCACCCAGGGACGTGGACTGTTACACTATCGACCTGCTGATGGCAGACATCCAGGATGTCATCCTGGGCCTGGGTGGGGACATGCCCGGATCCCAGCCCTGGCTTCCCCCTTCCCTCACTCACCTCTACCTGGTATCTCACTTACTCCGGTTCCTCTGGTCCCCTAGGTTACTCTAAGTGCATCATCGTGGCCCACGACTGGGGTGCACTCCTCGCCTGGAATTTCTCCATCTACTACCCATCCCTGGTGGAGCGGATGGTGGTGGTCAGTGCTGCCCCCATGTCGGTGTACCAAGGTATATCAAGGAGTCCGCGACGCTGGAATGTGCCTGTGTGGGGTCATATGTTTGTGTCTGCACTTCTCCATCTACCAGTCAACACTCCAGGGGCTGGGGGCGCAGTGGTGAACCTGGGTCCCTTCCCCAGGGGCATTCCCATTCTATAGCCAATGACAATACACAGGAGTAACATCTTTTGAGTACTTACAGGTAACAATTGCTCATACAGTAACGTACACAAGCTTTCTAGGCTTAAGAAGGTGTTATTATCCCCATATTCCAGTTGGGGAAACCAAGAGAGATCAAATAGCTTTCTTCTAGGAGTGAAGACGTAGGTAACTAAGCAACTACAATAGCATGAGATGCTGTCTATGGCTACCTGATGTCCATCACATCACCTGATTTTAATTGCCAGGATTATAGTCATAGCTATATGCTCGTTTTCTCTCTCTCTCTCTCTCTCTCTCTCTCTCTCTCTCTCTCTCTCTCTCTCTCTCATTATTTCTCATGTTTCCATCTCTAGACTGTCAGCTCCCTGAGATCAAGGGAGTTTTATCTGTCCCATTCACTGCTATGTCTCCAGGGTCTAGAACAGGACCTGGCACACAGTAGGTGCTCAATAAATGTTTGTTAAATGAAGCAGGGGAAATGTATCCAGGCCTGGACAGGAGAAGCACACCAGCGGCTCTGGGGGCTCCCAGGAGCTGCAGAGGGAGGTGCCCCCATTCTGCGGATACAGTGATTACTCAGCAGGGAGAGAAGGTGATGCCAGGGTGAGGGTGGACATCAGGTGTCCTCACAGACTCAGGCAGGCAGCACTGGCATGCCTGAGTGTTGGCACATCTGTGTGCCTAACCTGGGTATATGTAGCGATGTAGGATTGTGGGGCCACCCCAGGCCCAGGTCTCATGTCTGCTGTTCCCTCTCCCCAGACTACTCAATACGTCACATCGGACAGTTTTTCCGTTCCAACTACATGTTCCTGTTCCAACTGCCCTGGCTGCCGGAGAAGTTGCTGTCCATGTCTGACTTCCAGGTACAATGGGGTGAAGGCCCGGGGATGGGTGGAGGGTGGTTGGTTGGGACTGGGTAGGCTGAGCACTGAAGCCCGGGTCCTGCTTTGTGCCCAGATCCTCAAGACCACCCTCACTCACCACAAGAGGGGCATCCCACACTTGAGCCCCAACGAGCTCGAGGCCTTCCTTTATGACTTCTCACAGCCCAATGGCCTTACTGGGCCCCTCAATTACTATAGAAACATCTTCAGGTGAGACCAGACCCAGCTGGAAGCTCAGGAGAGTTGGTGGGGAAGGGGATGGGGCAGCCATCCTTCTGCCTGTCTGTCTGTCTTGGCCACAGGAGCGTCCCCCTGGAGCCCCAGGAGCTGGCCACGCCCACCCTGTTGCTGTGGGGGGAGAAGGACACCTACTTCGAGCAGGGGCTGGTTGGGGCCATCAGCAGCCGTTTTGTGCCCGGCCGGCTGGAGGCCCACATACTGCCAGGCACAGGGCACTGGATCCCACAGAGCCACCCTGAGGAAATGCACCAGTACATGTGGGCCTTCTTGCAAGACCTTTTGGACTAGCGGCCCTCGCTCGCTGGCCCGCATGCACCTGGGAGTCCACAGAATGTACATATACAGGTGGTCTCCTGGATTGTGCACAGGCATGGAGCTCCTAGGTCACACACAGGTGCATCAGCGGGTGCCCTTAGGCACACCAACCCATTTGCTCACACACAGGCATGAGTGTGTACACATGTGAGCAAGCACTTTGACCCTGGAGAACCATGGATGCTGCTTCTCCGTAGAGCTAGATGCTGAGTGTCCTCTTTTCCTTCTCTGGGGCACCAGTCTTGACAGAGTTGCCACCCCCCGCAAGCCATAACTCTGACCTTCCTGTCCCTGGCTTCTACCTCCAGTCTGGGTCTTTAGCTAAATGCTGCTTTGTCCAGTACAGTACTGGTAGACACATATGCCTATTTCCATTTAATTGCAAATCAGTTAAATATGATTAAAAATTCAGTTCCTCAGTCACACTAGCCATCTTTCAAGGGCATCAGCATAACAAGTTCTATTGGACAGTACTGATGTGGGTGTTCCTAGCGTAGAAGGCCTCCTTGCCTGGCTCCTAACCAGCTCACCAAGGGAGGACTTTCCTGTGCAGGCAGGTGGATGTCCAGACTTCTCCAGCCAAGCCTTGGGCGGCTCCCTGCCATGATCTCCCTCCCAGGCATGATTCCAGAGCTTGTAAGGTCAAGTTCTCTCACAGCAGCCTGGGAAAGATCCTTAGGATCCTGTCTCTGGATCCATGGGAAAACAGCTCTCCTTTAGGATATGTGAGATTCTGGACACGGCACAGGAAGGGACCAGCTCCCTGAATGGCCATCTGGCATCTGAGGCCTGCCTCTCCAGAGCTCCTGGAATCATCTGCTCCAAATTGACAATTTCTGCTGATTTTTTTCTGGGGTCCCAGGCTCCAGCCTCCAAAAGAGAGGGGTACAAGTCAAGGGTGGACCATCCAACTCCAGGCTAGTCACAGCATCAACGTCTATCTCCCCAGCTTTTGCCTGGTCTTTGGGGACAGTGTCATGACCTGTGGCATGACGAATCTCTCTGGGGACCCAGCAGTCCTCAGAAATACAGTCTCATCTCTGGGATGGGGCCTGCCTGCGGGGCCAAAACTTGCCTGCTGGTCACCCCTCTCTGCCCGCCCTTGTCCCCAGCATAACATCCTTTCACTCATCATATGTGTCAGGCACTGTTCTAGGCGCTGGGGATAGAGTGTGAACAAGAGCACAGCCCCATTGTGGAGTTAAGAGGCATCAGAGGTATGTGAGTGTGAGACGGGGTTCAGGAAAGGCTTTCCTCGCTAGGGGGGCGCACTTTTTGCGGAGTAGGGAGCAGTAAATAGGAAGGTGGGAGGCGGGAATAATCTCGGGCTACTGGAGTAACAAACGTGGAGATGAGTGGCTGCTGGGGCAAGGCGAGGGAGGAGGCAACCAGACCGAGGAGTTTGGAGGAGCTTGGACTGGATTCTCATGGGAAGCCGGGGGAGGATTTTCAGCAGGGAAGGACATGTCTTGCATTTTGAAAAGCTCCCTGTAGCGGATGGACAGTCCCACGCAAAAGTGCGAGCTGGGAGACAGGCCGGGTCTGCACGTAGCCTCAGCACGGGGAAGTGACCAGAGTAATGCCCCTCTGGGGGCTTGGAGATGGGCGGGAGGGGGCCGGGCGAGGAGACCTGCAAGTAGGAGCAGGACGGCGTGTCCAGGGGATGGTGGGTCTGGCAACAGTTGTCAGGGTGACGGGGGAAGGGCTGATGGTTGACCGGAACGGGTAGCGGTTGTCTGGGTGATCGGAGGCGCTGACGGTTTCCAGGGTAACGAAAAGGCGCTGTCTTCCGCCTCCGCGTAGCAGGGGCCGGGAGGGAAGGAAGCGATCGCGTTGATTGGGCAGAGTCCTGGCGAGTGAGCCATTAGAGACTCATGGCTTGGCTGAAGCCCGCCTCCCCCAACCTCAGCCAATTCAGGCGCGTCTTTCTCCGGCTTAGGGACTCAGCGCGCGCTTCACTTCGGGCGGGAGCCGGGACCCAGAGGGCTTGAAGAGGGGCTGCTGAGCCGATGCCCTTCACAAGCTCCGCCTCGCCCTCTCCCCGCTCTGAGCTCCCGCCTCCAAACCACCTTCCATCATTCTTTTCTTTTTTTTTCTTCTCTTCTCTTTTCTTTTTCTTTTCTTTTCTTTCATTCACCTATTTCTGCCACCAGCTCTAAGCCGCTGGCCCTGCACCAGAGGAAGCGGGGCGGGGGTGCGGAAAACGGAACCGTGCGTGGGCATTGCCAGCCCTATGTGGTCTGGCCCGAGTGAATGAGGGCTGGCAAGGAGCACTTACCTGGAGGAGAGGGAAGGAATGTGGCCTTGAAGCTAGCGGAACCCTGCAAGGATGTTTTAACATTTCCTTGAGACAGGGAGGAAAGTTTGAGATGGAAAGACGTGCGATTGCAAAGGACTTCAAACACTGGACCAGGAGCTTGATCCCCAGCATGATGGGGCCCAGCAGGGGTGGATCCTGGACAGATCTGTGTGTCTAGAATACTACTTGGGGGCTGGACCCGTGGGGCAAGGACCTAGAAGCATCTAATGGGTTAAAGACAATGATGGCCCAGGGAGGAGCCCCGTGTGTGGTGAGGCAGAGGGGCACTGACACTGGGAGAGAGGATGAAGTTCCCTCAGAACAGTGGAGAACAAGATAAGACTGAGTCCCAGGTGCCCCCAACATCTAAGGGACATGCAGAGAAGAGAGACCTCCAGAAGGAAGAGGGGAAGCAGGCAAGCATGGTGTTCCAGCAATGTAGGAGGGAAGTGTCAAGGAGGAGGGGCATAGCTTCTAGTGTCAAAAGACAATGAGAGATTGAGAGGACTGAGCTATGCAGATCATAAGAGAGGAAACCCTGGAGTGGGAGCTGAGGACAGAGGGCATGGGTGCTCTGAGTACATTCAAGCAGGGATGGGGAGAGGAGAGTGGTAACCCTAGTCCAAAGCCTGGAGGAAACAACTGGCACATTTGAATAGGGTGATTTGAGTCAGATTTGCTACAGGGATCATATGCAGCAGGCAGAGTTTGGGGAAGCCAACTGGACAAGTACCGATGGAAAGCCATTACCATGTCCAGGTCCCCCTGACCGGGCAAGAGGAAGGAAGGAGGTTAGCAGAGCCCAGCAAGAGATGTGCGTGGACAGGGCCTTTGCTCAAAGGCCATAGTCAGCCGAAGTGACCCTACAGAGCAGGATGCAGGAGAATTAATATCCCACTCTCTCTTCTGGCTTCTTCTTAAGCCAGTGCCTCCTATTGGCCAAACCCACCTGGAAGCCAGGGGACAAAGCTGTCCATTGATGCAGTCTGGGAGGTCAGTCACCCGGGGCATAAAGTGTAGTGGAAAAGGGGAAGAATGAAGCCAGCAGTGGGGAAAGATTTGGGGACAGAGACAGGCGCTTGGGGGCTGGGTGGGTGATGTGAGATGAGCACTTTCCTACAGGAGACCTCAATCTATGGCCCAGGGAGGAGGGAATGAAAAGCCCTGGCAGGGAGAGGGGCTGGGGGAGGCACTCCCCTTCTCTGAAGCTGTAGGAAAGGTGGGGAGGACAAGTGCCACACCTTCAGAAAGAAAGACAAGTTTCAGGATCCAGGGAGGCAAGGACATCAAAGCATCATAGTTCAGAGGTGAGCAGGAGGAGATGGGGTCCTGAGTGAGGCTGTGGCCGTAGAAGGTTGGAGTGATCTGCGCCCAGGGCCTGTGAGGCCAAGACATCCACTGGGTGTCCCACCCAATGGAGGGTCCTAAGGCGGAGAAACCACAGCCCCCAGAAGGGCTGGGGAGTGGCCTCCTCTCTTCCCCTGCCCAGAGCTTCAGAGCTCCTTTAAAATGAATTCCCTTCTCTCTACTCCCCTTTCATCCACATTCAGTTCTCACAACCCCTCCTCCTCCAGGAAGTCCCACCAGCCCCTGGCCTTCCTCTGACCCAGCCTTGATCTAATGGGGGCTGGACATGTCTGTGTCCAGATAGGGACATTTCAAGGGCTGGTCCGGGGCCCATTCAGGCTCCAGCTCCTGGGTCCTGCTTTGACTCAAGATGTGTGGAGCACATTCATTCATCAACTGACAATGTTTTCATCTCCTGTGCCGAGCTTGATGCTGGACATTGGGGATTCAGCAATGAGCAAGACAGATGCCCATGGAGCTCAGAATCTGAAGTGGTAGCCAGGCGGGGTAGGAGTCGAAAAGGAAGGGGTGGTGAGAGCCAGAGGCCAGAGGAGACCATGTGAAGCTGCAGGAAATCTCCCTGGGAGAAGAGATAGCAGACCTTCCAGAGTGATCTTTTACAACCTCAGTCAGATCAGCTTCCCTCTGCTAAAACCACCCAGTGGCATCCACTATGCTTGGGACAGAATCCCAGGCCTTTTGGCCCCTTCAGACTTGGCCCCCATCAGCTTCCCTGACTTCCCACCACTTGCTCACTCTGCACCCAGCACCCTGGCCTCCTAGTTGTTCTTCTCACCCACTCACCCCTCCTTCCTCTGGGCCTTTGCATGTGCTGTTTCTTCTGCCTGAACACCCTTCCTCTGGCTGTTTGCCTCACTGGCTCCTTCTTCTCCTTCAGGTCTCAGTTCTGATGTCCCCTCATCAGCGAGTTCTATCCTGACCTCCCCCACCCAGTGCTGAAATCTCTCCCTCCCTCATGTCACCCTCGATGGTTTTTATTTACTTCTTGTCTGTCTCTCCTATCAGGGCAGGAACTGGCTCTGTGTTGGTACCCTGGAACCAACTAGGGACTCAGTGATATGTTTGTTGAAAGACTGAATGAAGAAGAGCTGCCTCTCAGAGTGAGCTATCAGGTAAAAGGAGCTTTCTGGGTATGAGAAGGGAGCTTGCAGCAGTGGGCATAGCGTGTGCAGAGATGGGGAAGGATGGGAGACAGGAAAGTGAGACTGATGAGGTGAGAAGGGTATCACTCTGGGCAGTGGGGAGCCATGGAGGGTTTGAGCATGAGAGGGCCCTAGGGAGGCAGTGGCTAGATCTGCTGCCCATAACCCCTGGGGTCCAGTCATCCCACTCTTGCCCAGGACTCACACCCGGCAGCCCTCACCCCTGCTCGTTCTGGTTAGGCTCCCACGACCCACTGTCTGGGCATGAAGGCCTGGCCCCAGCTTCCGTGCAGAGGGCAGGACTGTGGTCCTGGGAGGAGAAGCCAAGGGCACGTTCTCAGGTTCCTGGTCAGCGGGCCCAGGCCCAGCAGCTGTGTCTTGGCCTGGCCCCAGGACCCGCATCCCTGGGGACTGAACTCATTGAGGAGAAATGCAGTCCCCAGCCAAGGCAACCAGCAGGAGCAGGAGGGAGGGCTGAAGCCCTCCTTACCCCCACCATGTTGGGAATTGTGTGGCTACCCGCTGCAAGGCCGTGGGAATGGTCACTCTGACTGTCCTGTCCCCCCAGGGATCAGGACACCTTGGGCTGGTCCTGCCACAGTGGCTAGAGGACAGCAGCAGAGCCCTGGAGTCAGAACCCCTCCTTCTGCTTGCTGACTGGGTCCCCTCTGAATTGTGGGGGCTTCAAAAGGGACTGGCACATAGTAGGGGCTCTGTAAACATGTCTTTCTTCCTTTTGTCCCCACTCCCTACATGCCATCCTCAGCCTGTTTTCACCATTACTGCTCCCTCTCTGTCTCTCTGCCACAGACCAGGGGCTGCTGTATCATACACAGTCACAGACTCTGGACTTCCTGCCTTGCAAATGGTGTGCCCAGTTCCTTGGTTGCTCCTTGAGACGGGAAGCTCAGCATCTCCTACAGCATCCATTCCAGCAGAAAACCCTTTCTCAGATGGCTCAGGGGAGGAATTAGCCCCCCCCTCCTGGAGCCCCTACCTTTGCCCCTGAGCTCCTAGATTCTTTTATGGACCCCCAGGCCCCCAGAATGGTACTGAAGAGAGTGGCTGAGCTCCCTGTGGCAACTTTTCTGGGATGGGCATCTCAACTCCTTCAGCCGCTTCCTGAGTCACCAAACCCTCCAATGTCACCCCTTATGTGCCCACCCCATTCTGGGTGATGCTTGGCCCCCAGGGAGCTCCCAGTCTAGGGAAGAAACAGCAGGACACAGATACCTGCAGCCCCTTGTGGGCAAGGCTGAGCCAGAGGGCAGGAGGGCGCTAGTAAAGCCTGGGGCAGCAGAGGAGCTAGGTCTGGGGGTGCAGAGAGGGCTTCCTGGAGCTGGAACCTTGAAGAATGAACAGGAGTTCATGAGGAACAGGAATGGGGGGAGGGAAGTCATGCTAGAAAGAGGGACTGGTATGGGCAAAAGGGTAGCATGTACAGGAAATAGCATAGTATGTCCTATAACTATAAGAAAACACATTTCCAAAGAGAACATATTTGCTATGAGTTCATGCTTCGGGAGGAAGCAAAAGGGTGCTTCTGTCCAGCTGGGTGCCTCTGTTCCAGGCAGAGGGCAAAGGCCAGGAACGTGCAAGGCCTGCCGGGTGAAGATGGAGTTTGGTTCAGTCTGATGATGAGGGGGGCAGGAGGGTCTGGAGATAGACAGAGGTGATGGTTACACTAAATGCCATTGAACTGAACACGTTAAAGTGGTAAGTGATTAACTTTATCTCAATTTAAAAAAATTATCAGAGGAAATCATTAACAAATGACAAAACCAGTGACTGAAGGTTTGATGGACACCGACCCAAGTCTACCAGGCCAGGGGGCTTGGCTTTCCTCCTGGGATGATGAGCATGGGGAGGACTCAAGCTGCGCCAGCCCCATGGGCCTGTTGACTCAGCACACTCCTTGTGAGTCAGACTGTGCCCCTTCTTATGCAATTTTTGTTTTTTTCTCTTCCCAATCCCCACCCCCACCTCTCGAGCTCCATGCAGCCTGGAGTCACTCAGACCTGGGTTCCAATCTCAGCTCTTCCTCCAGCAAGTCACCATAAAATGTGCAGATACCCTCCCCATGGGGCTGTATTCGTATAATGGGTGAATAGCTCCCCTCCCAGATAGGGGCTGCTCTCATAAGATGGGAGTGGCAGAGCATCCTCAGTTCCTGTTCCCTGGAGCTGGACTATCTGCCAGCCTCAACAGGGCTGGGGGTCATCTCTGATGCCGGGCACTGGTCAGTCATTCAACTTTCACCCTTGGCTTTTTATGCTTCTCCTTTCTGTCTAATGGTACTTCTCTGCCTCCTTCACCTCTTCCTCTTCCAGCATTTAAAAATTATCCAAGGGCCGGCCGAGTGGCTCAGTTGGTGAAGAGTTGGCTTAAGAGTACGAGCTCTGAGCAACAGGGCCGCCGGTTTGATTCCCACATGGGCCAGTGACACTGCACCCGAGCTGAGCTGTCGCTGGGTGGGCTATGCCCACCTGCAACTAAGACTGAACTCAGCGCCTTGAGCTGAGCTGCCACTGGGATGACTCAGTGGATAGGGCGTGTGCTCTTAACAACAAGGCTGCCGGGTTCGACTCCTGCATGGGATGTTGACTATGCCCACCTGCAACTAAAACTGTACTTGGCACCTTGAGCTGAGCTGCCACCCGTATGGCTCAGTGGATAGAGTGTACGCTCTTAACAACAAGGCTGCTGGTTCAACTCCCGCGTGAGATGGTGGCTACGCCCACCCGCAACTAAGATTGAACACAACATCTTAAGCTTAGAGGCCACGAGCTGCTGACGGGAAGCCAGATGGCGGCTGGTGCCCTCCACAACGAAGATTGAAGAACAACAACTTAGCTGGTCCCCTTCCCCAATCTCCAACACTGTTCCCCTCCCCCAATTCCCCAATAAAAATCTAAAAAAATAAAAAATAAAAATAAATAAAATAAAATTATCCAACATGCTAGTGGATGAATGGATAAGCAAAATATGGTATAGCCATTCAGTGGACTATTACTCAGCCATTAAAGGGACTGAAGCACTGATACATGCTACAATATGATGAACCAACCCCAAAAACTTGATGCTGAGTGAAAGAGGCCAGACATAAAAGGCCACAGAGTACATGATCCCATTTATATAAAATGTCCAGAACAGGCAAATCCATAGAGAAAGCAAGCAGGTTAGTGGTTGCCAGAGGCTGGGGCAGGGAGATGGGGAGTGACTGCTAATGGGAAGAGGGTCTCCTTTAGGGGTGATGAAAATGTCTTGGAACTAATAGAGGTGGTGGTTACACTAAAAATAGTAAGTGGTTAATTTTATATTCTGTGAATTTTATCTCAATTAAAAAAATCATCAAGGAAATCATTAACAAATGACAAAAACAGTGAATGAAAGTTTGATGGACACCAGGATATTCACACAGCCTCAAAGTATCTCTCCACAAGATATTAACATTTGTTTATGACAAGGGGGGTGGGTGGGAAGAGAATGGTACTTTTCCAGTAGGGAAATTTGACCAACTTCACTTAAATGGTCAAAGTTTGACATCACCAGTGCTGGGAACTGACATTAGGTGCCTCCTGATACGATGTACCGGGAGAGGACCAACATGGCCTCTGCCATTCCTGTCAAAGACACACAACCTGAACTTGGTCAGGAGGAGCCAGCAGGCCAGCCTGCTGGGGGACATTCTGTGAAACAAGTGACCTTGACTCTCCAAAAAATGCCAACATCATGAAAGACACAGAAAGGCTGAAGAACCGATTCAGATTAAAGGATGCCAGGGTTAGATCCTGGACCAGCAAAGAAACATGCTATAGGGGATATTATTAGAGCAACAGAAAACTTTGGATATGGATTGAGGGAGAAACTGTGGTGTGTTTAGGTAAAAGCATGCCCTTCTTCTTAAGGATCACACAGTGATGTGTTGGGGGCAAAGGAACATAGTGTCTGCAGCTTCTCTCTCTCTCTCTCTCTCTCTCTCTCTCTCTCTCTCTCTCTCTCTCTCTCTCTATATATAT